TATACAATAGATTTTTTTTTTTTAGTTAATACTCTAGTAACCTGATTAGTAAGCTACCTTTGTCAAGTACTTGGTTTTTATTTAGTTATACTAACCTTAAGTATATTTTTTTTTAAATATTAATAGTAAGATCATATCTCTGACTTTATTAAAATTTAATTTAATTTTTTTATAGTAAAAAGAATACCCTTACAAAAAAAAATCTATTTAAATTTTTTAGATATATTTTTTTCAAGTAGTACTATCAAAAGTTTGTACTATTTTTTCACTCAGGTTTTGCTAAGCAAGTATTTTATTACTATATTAGCTTTGTAGTTTTCTATAATTCTAAAAACTTATTAAGAGTTTGTACTGATTATTACTGGCTTATATATTTTTGTATAATTTATATATTGTATAAATATTCTAAAATTTTTTAATTTTGACTATAACTTCAATAAGCTACTACTGTTACTTTATATAATTATAGTTACAGAATTTTAAGTTTTTTAGCTATAACAATTGTTGCTGAATCTATTTTTTTAAATTTAATTTTTATTTTCTATAGAAATTGAATTTATACTCAACTACTTGAAGTATAATAACTTTATCACTTAACTAAGTCATTATATTCTTATTTTATAAATTTTTAAAACTAACTTATATAATATATATTAAAAAATTTTAAAGTTTAACTATAATTAGTTGCAAATAATTAATTAATAGGCAATCTATCTGTTATCTAAAGAGGATATACAAATTTTTATAAGTAAATTTTCCTATTAAGTCAAATATAAAGCACTTCTATTTAAAATTTTTTTACTCTTAGGCTTATAATAAAAGTTGTAAAGCTCATTAAAATATATTTAATAGTAATAAGAATATTAAAATTAGTATAGTAGTTCTTGAGAAATTTTCAAAATCATTTGTCAATATATAAAATTTCTTTAAAAAGAATCAATTTTTTTAAAAAATTTTATTTATTGTATTAGCAAAATATTTTTTAAAGATTTCTTAAAAATCTTTAAGTCAATTTTAATATTTTTACTACTATTAGATATAACTTGATAAGCTTTATAACTTTATTATAAGTAATGATACAGATATTTATTAAAGTATTTACTATCCATAATATTATAGCTATAGTGTAAAAGTCATACTACTTTTAGATCATATTGTTATTATGTTATATATAACAATAGGGTAGTATACTGTGAAAGGGTAGTGTGTCATTATAAGTTTAGTATACTATGATTGATGATTTATATTATATGCTATAAATGATATACATATATAGCAGTGCAGGTTTTTATTTTGATTGGCTAATTTTTGTAGATCATTTAGTGATATTACAAAATCTGATTGGTTAATAGAAAATAGGTTAGAAGTTAAAAAAATTTAAAACTTTTTGACAGAAGATATATTTAAACTATAAATTGAATTTACAATAACAATTTTTATAATTTTTAATATATTGATCCTCATAAGATGACTTTCATATAATTGGTTATTTATATCAATTTATCTTATATTATTTATACAGTTTAAACTATATGAAAATAAAAAAAATACATAGAAAGTATTATTAATGTTGTAGAACTCACTATTGAAAATAATCAAAACCTCCTTTTGTTTTAGAGAAGTTAACATAGTAATAATCTAGTTCAATCTATTTTTAAGAAGTAGTTATAATATTAACTTCGCTAAAATAAAGAGAGTTTTTGATTATTTTTATTAGTAGAGTTCTACAACCCTAATTAAACTTTCTATATACTTTTTTTTATTTATCCTTTGTAGTTTCATTTTTTTAAAAAAGTACTTTAAACTGTATAAATAATTAAAACTAAATTGATTTAAACAATCAATTATATAAAAGTCATTCTATAACGTTGACCCTCATAGTTATTATCAAATACATATATTGTAGCTTTTTTTTTTTTTTTTAGTATTACGGTGAGGTCTTGCCCCATATCTTTATTAGATATTATCAAGTATTTGCCTTATATAGCTATATATCTATCTTAAGAATACAAGCTTAGACCCCAAAACAGCTAGTTTGTTAAAAAAAAATTTATAAAATTATAAGCTAATACAGTATAATTATAAAAAAAAAAATTATAAAAAAATCCAACTATAAATTTTTATACCAAAAATTAAAACAAGTTAAAATATTTTTTTTTAAAAAAAAAAAAAAAAAAAAAAAAAACAAAAAATTTGCAAGCCAAACAGGTGCCTATGCTTAATAAAAAACATAAAAATAACACAAACACAAAATTTTAAACATGGATATAAAACTTTGGCACAAATATAGGCAGACACAAAAATTTGGCACGGGTTGGCACAGGCATGGGTACTTTAGTGCCTGCTATATTTGTGCTGTATCCTTGTAGTACCTGCCATGGACAATTACATGGGCTAAATCTATTCATGCCAATAATTAACAAGTGGTATCAATTCTGCCAATTAAGTATCGCGCCTATAATGTGTCTAACAGGTGCGGTTTAAGGCACTAGTGCCTGGCCTGATGCCCAATGTGCCTGGCGTGGGCATTTGCAGATCCCTACAAAAAATTCGAAATAGTAAAAATATAAAACATTGCCTACACCTATTGGGATAAAAGAGTCTTGCAAAAAAAAAAACTGCATCTTACCACTTACTAAAACAACCGCCATGGAAATCTTTTATGCTAAAAGTTAAAATAGACGTAAAAGCTAGATATTATGCGTGTATAGAATGAAACACTTATCTTAATAAGAGTTGACCACTTCAGATATAGGTTTTTGTAAAAAAAAGACGCGAAAAAACGCGTAAAAATAATAAAGAAAAAAGAAGTATAAAAAAATGAAAGTCAGATCATAAAAAAAATATGTAAAAATGCATATAGAAAAGTAAATGTATATAATACATTCGTAAGATCGTAAGCTTGAACAAAAAATAAAGCATCTATGTAAAATATTTTAGGTAAGATGCGTCTTCCTATTTAAAATTTAACGTATATACGGATATTATAATATATACACAAATGACTCTCGCTCGATATAATAAACCTTCGATCTAAGAAACTCTTGATATAAGAAAAGATTTTGTGTCCCAATTGAAAATGTTATAATAAAAAACCTTCGATAAGAAAATCTCGGTATAAGAAAGATCTTGGCCGGCAACTTTCCTATATCAAGGGTCACTTGTATTATAAAATTAAACCCGAATCTCGAGCAATTAACTCACATCAGCCAATCAGACGAACTTCATATTCCATGAAGTGAAATATCCGAAATTTTAGAATTATAGGTTCTCACTTGGCAAAACTTATGTAATTCAATTCCATTGAAGGTTCAGCAATGGATCAAGCAACAGAAATACAGAAAGAATTCATAACTCTGGATGGTAGTTTACTCGAGGGCGGAGGACAAGGTGTATAAGAAATTTTTTTGCGCAGTCACAACTCTTTAAATGAAAAAAATGTGCATTTAGAGAGGGTGTACATCTATAGAGAGCAAAAATATAGAGCTCTCATAAGTTGGGACCAGCTATATCGTGTATTAAGAGTAGTTCGTGCATTTATGGAGACATGTATTTATGGAGTTATGACTGTACCTTATTACCCTCATGCTTTCGCGAATAATTTTCTAAACTTTTGTTCCTATTTAAAAATTATTTTGTAAAGTGCTTCGGAATTGTGTAGTCTTCAGGTAGCATATCGTTTTAAAAAATTTTATACACCTTAAATGCCATTACTGTATTTTCTTACTTTTGATTTACTTTATAGCTGCCTTACGAATAAGCCGGTTCGACTCATTAATATCCGTGCAAAGCGTGATAAACCTGGTTAGTTACCTCGGTTCAATTAGTTATTTAAATGCGTTATAAATTTCCATCCATTTATATGTTAGGTCTTAAACCGCAACACTTATCTGGCCTTCAGCTTATACGTGACATTTTCAACGCAGATTTACAAGGCGACAAAGTAACTTTCTATGCATAAATAACTTATATAAAAATAAGTGCATACAATCTTATCATTAAATCTTTAGATTGGTTCTCAAGAAATTTTGTTTCATCCGCATGATGCGGATCAGAGTAAAACTTTTATATGTGACATTAAGACAGCGGGGTAATATCTTAGACTTTTTATCAAATTTATTAAATTAATATTTGTTTATCATATTTATCATTCATTGATTTATCTAAATTGCAGGAGCATCTCATTATTGATTCAAATCGCGTTACCACCGTTAATTTTTTCTGCGTCTCCGCGAAAATCAAAGTTGTCTTTACCGCCTAGAGCACAGAAGGCCATTCTTAAAGGTGGTACCAATGTTGATTTGGCACCACCAATTGATTTCTTAATTGAGGTATTATTAATTTCTTTGAATATTTCTAATTTAATATACTTTTTTTTTATTTAAAAAACGTAATTATATACCACATTTTTTATTTCAAGGTGTTTAGACCAATTGTTCAACGTGAATTTGGTTTCAATTTTAGCATTAATGTTATAGGCCGTGGGTCTGTCACAATAATTTCATGTTAATACTGCTTGTAAGCTGGATGTGATATCCGATTGATCCGTTTGTAATCTTAGATATTATCCTCAAGGCGGTGGTGAAGTCATTTTAAATGTGGACCCTTTAGTCGAACAAGCTT